TCGTGACTGTGTACTCGTTTTGCAAATCGAATTCTTATTTGGCCGCCGCAAGCTATGACTTGCTAACAATATATTAACTCTTTCCAGTTGTCCGAATAAGGTTTTTTCGCCTTTTGGCACAATTATAGAGCCTTCAGCTGGTATGTCCTTGTTCACCAGGCCGCATCAACTACCTTCTGTTTAGTGGGCCAGAATTCGGTCCAACCTTGACCAGAGGGCTCTGGTGAGTTAGGTCTAATTGGATTTTTGGGAACCAGAAGCGTCGGTAGGCGCCATCTCCTGTGGAAAGTATGGATAGTGCCGAGAGAGGAGAGAATTTGGTTTCTATAATGCTCCGCAATTAATTAGCTATGATTCGGTAAAAGTTCAAATTGGGGTCCTAAACAGCGCGCGAAAACACCATCCTTCTGTAATAAAAAAATGTAACGCAAAAAGTAGAGCTTCTCAGCGGAACTGGCATTCTTTATCGTCTTCGCAATTTCCCCTTCACGGGTCTGTCCTCTACACTGAGACACGTTGTTTCGCGCAGCACGCTCTATGAGCACTCTGTAATCTATTTCCTTCGGTGGAAAGACGTCAAACGATCGATCCTGTCTTGTCACAACCTGCACTTTTCAATGCCACTCGCAAAAAGGGATGCGGCTATTCCCTCACTGAGCCTAAAACTAAAGTTCTTTCTGTCATTATAGATTGTTTTTTTTATTCAATGACAAACAAGGGGACGGGAATGAGACGTTTTATTATAACATTCGGGAAATCACATTGTCCTCAAAGGTATTCCTGGGCAGTTGTCATTATTCGTGGTGTGCTTCAGACTGCAGTTTGCAAAGATACGTCCTCAGGCCCGCTCGCACCTGTTGCCGAAGTGAAGGAAATGTGGTTATTAGTGGAGGGGGAGGTGCAAAGACATACCTTTTGTCATGATTTCGTAGAGTCCGTCACGGAGCTCCTTCATCTGCATGCCAAGTTCGTCCTCGTTGAAGAAGTTCTTCAGTTCTGCGAGCTTGGTCAGCATCGTAGTTCGCGCATCCTAATCCATTCATGAAAACAAGGCATGCATGTTTCTCTTAGTTCATTGACAGTGCACACATATATGTGTGCACACATATAGGAGTGAAGGTTAAGACGGTTAACCCTAACACCTACAATCTTC